CTAAGGAGCCGGGCCTCCAATTTATTATATATTTGCAGTCTTTCTTTTTGCCTTTTTTTGATATTTTGTGTGTTTGTGTATGTGGTCACCATGTCTACTTCTGCAGTGTTGATGCCAGTTTGAATTATACCGGTTAATATTCTATAATTTCTGTTTTTATTTCTCTTCTAAACATTTTCAAGATGTATTTGTCCTGAAGTTATCTTTCTCCGTCTTCCTTGTGCGCCATTCAACTAACTTTGTCTCTCTTTGGTGTGCTTTTATTCTTGAAGTAGTCCTGCGCGCTGGCTCAGTTAAACCTTATTGTGAAGAAACCGGTTGACGAACTCTTTGTGGTCATGGGTGTAGGAAGAAAAGCTACATTTCTCCCAGATTTAGGCTATCTTTTATGGAAACAAGGCCGTATGGTTGCGATATCCATAGTACCGAGCTAAACGGTTAACAACTCATTGTTTCTGAAAAAATAAATATTCTTGAAGTTTATTGTTTGCTGTATTCAAATTTGTGTCATTTGGTTTCCACCGATTGGCTTGACTGATAAATTTCTAAGGCTGCGTCCACACTGGCAATCAAACTTATGGAACCAATCACAATGGCAGTAGCACATCACATGGTCTTTCAAAAGAGGGTTTCTATTCAAACATTTATCAGCATACCCCTTGTTATCTATGGCAGTCTTATATTCACAGGTATGTCCTCATTTGTTTTCATACTGCAACTTCTTTAGTTAATATATATATATATATGAAGGCAAAATCAGTGGTTCCTAAACTTCTTTAGGTCGCGCCCCTTGACTGTATGACAAGACATCCATGCCGTTCTTGATTATACAGCGACCCCCCCCCCCCCCCCCCCCACACACACACACATATACACACACAGTTCCTATTTCCACTTAACAAAATATGATTAAAGGGAAGACTGTAGATTAGGCACCAGAAAGTAAGGAGATGCCTTTTCGCCAGAATGTGTCCCTAATTTATACTTAAATACCTCTGGTATATTATCAATGTGATTGTAAAAGTTAGATGTAAAAACTGCGGATGAAAAGAAAACAAAAAATGCATTTGTCGTTTTATTTAATAAACTGTTGTAACTTTGAAAAACAATTTACAGTTACTCTAAACCAAAATGTAACTATAACGGAATATTGGGTAACCAACCCCAACATTGTGTTTTCGATGTTGCTGATTTTCTAGGCAATTTTTCGTTTAGTAGTTTGCCATTGGGACTGCACGGTCGAATCTGTATTAACTATCTAAACGAAGGCAAATAGGTTTGCTGCCAAATCATCTGCAGCTGGGATCGATCACGGCAACCCGGCATTACGAAGCGTGCTCGCCACGCCTAAGCCACAGACGCGAACTAAGCTTTATTACAAATGCACTCACTTTCAAAACTGCTTGCCGCCCCTTGAAATCTTCTTGCGTCTCCTAAGGGATCGCCTGCCCCCCACCGCCACCCGGCCCCACCCCCTGTCCAAGTTGAAGTTCACTGTCCAATATGGATATCCGCTTTTTCTTTTTGTGATCGAGTCTTTGGTTTACACCGACAGACGAATTCGTGCGAATAAAGCATCCATCAATATATAGCGAGAGTTGCCTAATATTGTGGTCCACTATTGATTGACGTTTATGATTTCTCATGAAGGTAAGCTGGCTCGCTCCGTTGCCACACAGTTAGATGACCTAACACACACACACACACACACACAAGGAGATCACAATCCACACGGTTAGATGACATAACCCACACGGTTAGATGACATAACCCACACGGGGAGACGACGTAACCCACACTGGAAGACGAGATAACTCACGCAGGAAAGCGACATAACTAACACAGGGAGACTACATAACTAACACGGGAAGACGACATAAGTAACACGGGGAGATGACATAACTAATTGGGAGACGACATAACTAACACGGGGAGACGACATAACTAACATTGGGAGACGACATAACTAACACGGGGAGACGACATAACTAACACTAGGAGACGACATAACTAACACTGGGAGAGGACATAACTAACATGAAGAGACGACATAACTAACACTGGGAGACGACATAACTAACACGGGGAGACGACATAACTAGCACGGGGCGGCGACCTAACTAACACGGGGAGACGACATAACTAACACTGGAGGCGATATAACTAACACTGGGAGGCGACATAACTAACACTGGGAGACGACATAACTAACTCGGGGAGACGACATAACTAACTCTGGGAGACGACATAACTAACTCGGGGAGACGACATAACTAACTCGGGGAGACGACATAACTAACTCGGGGAGACGACATAACTAACACTGGGAGACGACATAACTAACTCGGGGAGACGACATAACTAACACTGGGAGATGACATAACTAACACTGGGAGGCGACATAACTAACACGGGGAGGCGACATAACTAACACTGGGAGATGACATAACTAACACTGGGAGATGACATAACTAACACTGGGAGATGACATAACTAACACTGGGAGATGACATAACTAACACTGGGAGATGACATAACTAACACTGGGAGATGACATAACTAACACTGGGAGATGACATAACTAGCACTGGGAGATGACATAACTAACACTGGGAGATGACATAACTAACACTGGGAGATGACATAACTAACACTGGGAGGCGACATAACTAACACTGGGAGGCGACATAACTAACACTGGGAGATGACATAACTAACACGGGGAGACGACATAACTAACACTGGGATACGACATAACTAACACTGGGAGGCGACATAACTAACACTAGGAGGCGACATAACTAACATGGGGAGACGACATAACTAGCACGGGGAGACGACATAAACCACACAGGGAGGCGACATAACTAACACTAGGAGGCGACATAACTAACATGAGGAGGCGACATAACTAACATGGGGAGACGACATAACTAGCACGGGGAGACGACATAAACCACACAGGGAGTCAACATAAGCCCACGTGGAGACGACACAACCTATGGAATAAAGACTAGTTTAAAGAAAAAAAAATGAAGCTAAAACAAAAAGCAAAATATGCCTCATGAAGTGGAAAAAAAAAAAACCTTCTATTAATTGTTTCTTTCAGTAACTATCACAACAAATTAATTTGCCTCGTTCTATTCCAGGAGTGAAGTTGAATAGGATGTCGGATACTGCAGGGGTTAGTCTAGCCTTTACCTCAAACACGATTCTGGCTGCCAGGAACATCACCCTGAAGAAGATGCAACAGGAATCTAACACTCACTCGTGGTTAGCTCTCAGATCGCGCTCCCACATCACACTCGTTATCTACCTGCAGGGTCTGTTTGTGGCAGCGATGTATGTCCTCGCTGAACAAGGGCTGACCTCCAAATGTAGCACGATGTTGGTAGCACTAGCATTGGCGTCTGGGATTTACCACGTCGCATATTCGTATATTTCTACAAATATCGTCCTAAATGTAAGTAATTAATCAAGTAACAGCATAAATATCGTATATCGCTAAGTTTACTTTAAGAATTGAAAAAAAAAAAAAAAACATCTCCCCACCTTTTTTAAAAAAAAAAGATTACTTGCGTTTTTACAACAGCTGTAAAAACGCAAGTAATCTTTTTTAAAAAAAGGTGGGGAGATGTGTTTTTTTTTTTTTTTTAGTGTTGCTGGGTAGCAATCCATTAGGATTGGAACATTGTGTTTTTGTACCCACAAACCAGGCATGCTGACGCCTCTGGCTATCGCCCTCTGGACCTTTCTGTTTAGGTGACCGCTAGCATGTCCCTATATCCCAAAGAAGGAAGAGAATTCTGGTAACGTCTAAGTAACTCCAGGGCCGCGTCCAAAGCCAGAGAACCGTTAGAGACTAAGACGGTGTTGCTGAGACCCTGTGTCCATGTTTTGTGAAACGAGGATAATTTCAAATACGGCGGGTTGTCTATGATCACGTGTGGAATGTTCAACAAGAACATGGGTATTCAGAGAGAACCATGTTAAGGAGACTTTGGACGGGTTCACTTGAGCTCTTTATTCCTGCAACACTCACTAAGTAGTCTAGTTCGTGTTGCAGCCAGTTTTTTCACACGGCTATGAATTATGGACAATTAGTAAGCAAGCCGAACGGTATCGTGAGACATCGGAGATGTGGTTTTATAGAAAAATCCTTAGAATTTCTTGGACATCTAAGAAGAGTAACCCAGACGTTTTGAAACAGGCGAGTGCTAGAAGACAACTTATTACAAACATCAAAAAGAGACCGTCATTATTTTTGGCTATGTTATGAAAAGAGGGAAAATAGAACATGCTGCGAACCAATGGAAAGATTTGGGGGCTATCTTCCGAATAACGGGCATAAAATATCCCAACAGAGCCTCAGTCACGTGTCAATTGCGCACTTCCGGCGACTTAATTTGCGGTTTTCAGGCGACTACCGCCACCGCCAAGAGTCCCAACGCCGCTGACGCGGCGTGAATTGGGGCTACACTAGATGGCTGGGACTCAAGAGCAGCAGCTTTGGCATCTCCTGCAGCTTTGCTCGTGAGTCCTAGCCATCTAGTCGAGCCCAATCCACGCCACGTGAGCGACGTTTGGGAATCTGGCGGTGGCGATAGTCGCCGGAAAACCGCAAATTAAGTCGCCGGAAGTGCGCAATTGACACGTGACTGAGGTCCTTTTTTTGGCCGGAATTGGTCGCCATCTTTTGTGCCCGTTATTCGGAGGATAGCCGATTTGGGGAAAGAGAGACACCGGATGACAGCGCGAGAAGATTCTTGACAGCCTCTTGTCACAGCCACTACACACCAACAGACATGCGCAGTTGCAAATAGCAGATTGTGGAGAGGCACGATCGCCCACGCAAATCAGCCAGGCACCTGATTATATTAGAAAAAAAAAAAAGCGAAAGAAGAAACCGTGAGCAACGCATGTACGTAATTATGTTGTGTAATTGATGCCTGGGTTCTGTTTCTAGGCTGACTAATTATAATCCAGGTTAACTGTATTAGGTGATGAATGTCGTCAGCCACTCAATCGCCAACATCTTCAAGAGGCTTCTCGTGGTGCTTCTGCTGTCTGCTCTAGGAACTCGAGAGCTGTCAGCGAGCAACTTCCTGGGGCTAGGTATAGCACTGGCTGGGCTTCTTGTGTACACACACGGGAAGATCGGCGCAGACCAACAGTCGTGTAAATATGTCAAAGGTATAAAGTTAGCATCATGAATTCTGCTTTTGTTATTATCTATCTCCGTCTCTAAATATCGTTTTTACTTCTCCTCTCCACCTCCTTCTAATCCTTCTCCCCTCCTCTTCTTGTTCTTGTTCTTGTTCTTCTTTTTCTTTTATCTTCTTGCTTCTTCTTCGTCTTTCTTTAGCCTATTGTTATTATTATGCATTCGCTGCTGCTACTGCTTCTTTTCCCTTTTCTGCTTTTCAAGCAGTGGCATATAGTTTTAAAAAAAAGATGTGTTTATTGTTGTTTTTGTTGCATTTGGAATTTCAAACAACACTCAACATATATTAGACCATTATGTGTAAGGATTTTGAAAATAGTGTTTAATCGCATAATTGTTAGAAGGGGAAGAAACAGTTCAATTGCATAAACACTTACTGAATTTACTAACTGCTAGACATGAACGAAAAATTAGATCAGTACATAATATTGTCACAAATGCATAAATGATGAGAGGATTTATAGTCATAAATACCCATGTATGTAAAAATGCCGCGTCCGTGGCTAAGGCGTTGCGAGTCCGACTCGTGAGCCAGCATACCGCGATCGAAACCCACTGCTGGCTAAAATGGGTACCATGATGGGCTGTCCTGGGAAAGTAAAGACAGCCGGCGTAATGCTGACCACATTACCCACACAGTGCTGATTGTCTGTAAAAATATGGGACGCTCTGCCCATATGCCCGATGCGCCGAAAGTCGTGAAAAGGGATCTTTACTTACTTTTATGTAAATACGTTTTGAAATGTCTAACAGGGACACATATTTTTCTCTCTCTCTCTCTCTAGTTTCAGAAGACGGGCCACTAGAAGATCAAAAATATAAAACCTGTTTGGTGGTTTTGCTCCTGGCTTTTTCGTTGGTCATCTTTGTACACTCAACAAGTGTGCATCTGTGGACAAACATATCACTGTCGTCTGCTAGGCATGATCGCTACCGCCAGAAGGACTTGGGAATAAATAGTTTACATGAGACCAGACGGCCTCGGAATGATTTCGAGATTCACAGTTTACACGAGAACATAATTTCAAAGGAAGACATGAAATTCAATGTTCATAATGGTTTGCAAACGTTTAGGGAAACTAATGAGGACTTGAAGTTTCAGAGTTTAAAAGAGGTCACAGAACTAAATGGTCGGTTTTCCCAGATCATCGAAGCTGAAACTGATCCGGAAATGAAGAACTTTCTATCAAGGCGGCTGGTCGACCATCCTGAAGACACAGACAAGAGATCCAAAACGTTGACAACAAACAAGGAAATCGTAGAGGAAGCGCAGAGGATTCTGGTTAACCTAATGGAGGATCTTTTAGGCAAAGCCAGGCACGTGATGTTGATAGATATCCCTGTCCAGGAAAACAAGGGCGACCCGGCCATAGCTGCCGGAGAAGTCTTGCTATTGGAAAAACTCAATAAAACTATTGTTTTCCATTGCGAGACCCATTATTGCGAGACCGCCCCGGCTTTGAAGACAGCATCAGAAATTAGCCAGAAATATCTTAAGGATGATTTGGTTATCCTCATGCATGGAGGTGGTAATATTGTTGGGTACGCATTTGAAGATCGCATTCGAAGAAAGTACATCGAAGCTTTTCCTGAAAGACAGTGCATACTTTTCTCACAAAGCATCTGGCTGCACGAGGGTTACTCTAGCAATTTAGAATTCGCTCGAGAAACCTATTCCAATCGTTCCAATTTGGTAATATTGTTGCGAGATCAACAGTCTTTAGAAATAGCCAAGAACAATTTTAGGGGAATTAAGCTTATTCTTGCACCGGATCTGGCTTTCTGTATTGGAATGATTCCTCGTCAAATGCCACCGTTGTATGATATCGTATGGCTACGAAGAGAAGACAGCGAAAAATCAAGCTTTACTTTTCCTAAGATTCCTAAAAATATTACTTTTGATGTGGGCGAGTGGTTGAAATGGCGGACCAATACAGGAAGGCAAACAATGGAGACTGTTTTCCTGGTAGCTGCGGAAGGATTTCAGTTTCTACAGAGAGGTAGAATTGTGGTCACGGAGCGTCTGCATGGACATATTCTGTCTACGTTGTTGAACATCCCACACGTGATCATAGACAACCCGCCGTATTTAAAGTTATCTTCGTTTCACAAAACATGGACACAGGGTCTCAGCAATACAGTCTTAGTCTCTAACGGTTCTCTGGCTTTGGACGCGGCCCTGGAGTTACTCAGACGTTACCAAAATTCTCTTCCTTCTTTGGGATACAGGGACATGCTAGCGGTCACCTAAACAGAAAGATCCAGAGAGCGATAGCCAGAGACGTCAGCATGCCTATTTTTGTGTTTAACAAAACACAATGTTCCAATCCTAATGGATTCCTTACTTAATAACGCACCATGTATTTGCTGAAGTCTACTCACTTTTTTTTAAATTTTTTCTTAAAAATAAAACACTGTTGGAAATGTACAATATGATGTGAAATATTTTTCTAGTGCTGATAGAGTAAATGCTCAGCGTGCCGATCCGACATAGTCAAGTAGTGTGCTAGATATAGTCAAGTAGTGTGCTAGATATAGACAAGTAGTGTGCTAGATATAGTCAAGTAGTGTGCTAGATATAGTCAAGTAGGGTGCTAGATATAGTCAAGTAGTGTGCTTGATATAGTCAAGTAGTGTGCTAGATGACATAGTCAAGTAGTGTTCTAGATATAGTCAAGTAGAGTGCTACATATAGTCAAGTAGTGTGCTAGATATAGTCAAGTAGTGTGCTAGATATAGTCAAGTAGTGTGCTTGATATAGTCAAGTAGTGTGCTAGATGATATTGTCAAGTAGTGTTCTAGTTATAGTCAAGTAGAGTGCTAGATATAGTCAAGTAGTGTGCTAGATATAGTCAAGTAGTGTGCTAGATATAGTCAAGTAGTGTGCTAGATATAGTCAAGTAGTGTTCTTAATGTGGTTATCGAAACAAGCTCTGTGTGTTAGACTTGCAGTGTGAGTAGACAGAAACAAGCTCTCTGTGCTAGCCTGGTAGTGATAAGTGAGCAGACAGAAACAAGCTCTCTGTGCTAGCCTGGTAGTGGTTAGTGAGCAGACTGAACAAGCTCTCTGTGCTAGCTTGGTAGTGATAAGAGCAGACAGAAACAAGCTCTCTATGCTAGCCTGGTAGTGATAAGTGAGCAGACTAAAACAAGCTCTCTGTGCTAGCTTGGTAGTGATAAGAGCAGACTGAAACAAGCTCTCTGTGCTAGCCTGGTAGTGATATGTGAGCAGACTGAAACAAGCTCTCTGTGCTAGCTTGGTAGTGATAAGTGAGCAGACTGAAACAAGCTCTCTGTGCTAGCCTGGCAGTGATAAGTGAGCAGACTGAAACAAGCTCTGTGTGCTAGCCTGGCAGTGATAAGTGAGCAGACTGAAACAAGCTCTCTGTGCTAGCCTAGCAGTGATAAGTGAGCAGACTGAAAAACAAGCTCTCTGTACTAGCCTAGTAGTGATAAGTGAGCAGACTGAAACAAGCTCTCTGTGCTAGCCTGGCAGTGATAAGTGAGCAGACTGAAACAAGCTCTCTGTGCTAGCCTGGCAGTGATAAGTGAGCAGACTGAAACAAGCTCTCTGTGCTAGCCTGGTAGTGATAAGTGAGCAGACTGAAACAAGCTCTCTGTGCTAGCCTGGTAGTGATAAGTGAGCAGACTGAAACAAGCTCTCTGTGCTAGCCTAGTAGTGGTAAGTGAGCAGACTGAAACAAGCTCTCTGTGCTAGCCTAGTAGTGGTAAGTGAGCAGACTGAAACAAGCTCTCTGTGCTAGCCTGGTAGTGATAAGTGAGCAGACTGAAACAAGCTCTCTGTGCTAGCCTGGGTGTGATAAGTGAGCAGACTAAAACAAGCTCTCTGTGCTAGCCTGGTAGTGATAAGTGAGCAGACTGAAACAAGCTCTGTGTGCTAGCCTGGTAGTGAAAAGTGAGCAGACTGAAACAAACTTTCTGTGCTAGCCTGGCAGTAATAAGTGAGAAGACTGAAACAAGCTCTCTGTCCTAGCCTGGCAGTGGTGAGTGAGCAGACTAAAACAAGCTATGTGTGCTAGCCTGGTAGTGATAAGTGAGCAGACTAAAACAAGCTCTATGTGCTAGCCTGGTAGTGATAAGTGAGCAGACTGAAACAAGCTCTCTGTGCAAACCTGGCAATAATAAGTGAGCAGACTAAAACAAGCTCTATGTGCTAGCCTGGCAGTGATAAGTGAGCAGCCTGAAACAAGCTCTGTGTGCTAGCCTGGTAGTGATAAGTGAGTAGACTGAAACAAGCTCTGTGTGCTAGCCTGGTAGTGATAAGTGAACAGACTGAAAGAAGCTCTCTGTGCTAGCCTGGTAGTGGTAAGTATGCAGACTGAAACAAGCTCTCTGTGTAAACCTGGCAATAATAAGTGAGCAGACAGAAACAAGCTCTCTGTGTGCTAGCCTAATAGTGATAAGTGAACAGACTGAAAGAAGCTCTCTGTGCTAGCCTGGTAGTGGTAAGTATGCAGACTGAAACGAGCTCTCTGTGTAAACCTGGCAATAATAAGTGAGCAGACAGAAACAAGCTCTCTGTGTAAACTTGGCAATAATAAGTGAGCAGACTGAAACAAGCTCTCTGTGTGCTAGCCTAATAGTGATAAGTGAGCAGAATGAAACAAGCTCTGTGTGCTAGCCTGGCAGTGAAACCGACAAGAAGGCGCTCTTGACTAGAGGTTGACTATGTCACGCTGAATGATCATTATTTCTGAAGCTCTTTCATTGCCACTGAAACTGATAAACTAACGACCTGAAAGCTAAACTTGAATTTGTACCTGCTCACTGCCAACCAATTATGAATACTCCGAGCAGCTTTGAGGCAAAGCCATTCAGGGTTATCGATGTCTACAACAGCGTGTCTGACTTAATGTTTTGTATGATATAGCTCACATTTTCCTTGCAACCAGCAGCTGTGAGGATGCAAAATACCTGCTGCTGCTAAGCTTGAATATAATTCTGATGGGACCAAACAGTCAACAATAGACCTATTCAGATCTGTCAGAACATTTCATATAGGACACCAACTCCTGTTGTTAAAGAATTGTGTAGATCATAGGTAATCAGAGCAGACAATGTTGACTGCAGACAAAAAAAATTTACGAGTTTATCACATAAAGAAATTCTGGCTGATTTGACTTTTTTTTTCTGGCATGGCATACCTTAGAGGACAGACTGCCTCTCTTAGCTTTAAAAAAAAATATTTTAGGTTTACATCGCGTTGTCGATATCTTTGTTGGTGTAGAACGCTCATTATCGAAACATCCATCTGAATTATCACCACTGCGATAACTTCTATTCCAAGAAAACCTACGAGCTTACAGTGTCGTGTTCTTAAAAAGTAAATAAATAATAACTTTAGAAATAGTATTCGAAAATTAGTTGAGAAGAGTGTTACTGTGCTTGACGGAAAGAGGTAACAGAAAAACAAGAAGAAGTAGGGAGAGGAGGAAAGACATTGTGGTGAAGATAATAAGTAGTGCCCCGCTGAGCAGCCTAAATAGGAAAAGTAGAGGAAAGACAAAGGTTCGTTTGTGCAGGAGCCATGAAAGATGTTTATATCCCAGGCAGAGAAAATGTGAATAATTGTTTTACATAACAACATCTGATTACAATTACACAGCAAAGCCTAGTTAACAAACTACAAGTTTTATCTTGAATCAAGCAAATAAATGTAACCATAACATTTAAAATCTGTCTATTTTCCTGAAAACAAATTATAAACAACCACCACGTGTTCCAGCAGACAATGTGCTATGCACTTCCACTAACAAATGTGAAAAATCGCTCTTCGTGGCCTGAAATCAAATATCTCCGAGCCATGATACACACTGATATCTAGCTCTACACAGTTCAATTACTGAAGAATGTTCAGATCTAACTATAGAAACCTATCACCGCCGTAATCAGTCAGACAGTCTCATCAATCTCACTGCTCAGTCGGCCGTACCTGCGCTGTGGATCACATGCGGTCACACAACAGCAGTGCGACTGACCGCACAAGCCGAGAACATTCAGAGTTTCCCTCGGGTCTCAGCCGTTTTATCACCTTCCGGTCTCTCAGCTTGCCGGTTTTTCGTATGCTTGCAGCCTAATCAAAATTATAACAGACGATTAAAATGTACGGATGCGAAGGACTGATAAAAATATTTGAATATTATTGCTGATTAGGAATAATAAAAATTGCATTCATTTTGCTTTGGTTAACCTTATGTAATTGCATTTGCTGTGCTACTCAGTTTCTAAAACAAAGATAAAGTCAAGAGGTGGACGAACAACCAGAACTTTCTGTCAGAGTTTACTGTTGTGAACGCGAAGAAGAATAATAATTACCTATTGTTAACTTCATCGAAAAATGTAACCTAACGGCGCTGCTCAAGCATCTGACAATGGAGGTCATGGCTGGAGACGCAAAACGTTAACCACTCAGTGGAAACAACCAACGCACCAATTAATCAAACAAACATCTTACAAATCAATCAAACAACTAAGACACTAGTCACTAAAACAAACAAAATCCAAAGCAATGTTTCGCCGTTGTAAATTCGAACAACGAAGGCACACACAATAGATTGCACAGTACATTCTCGTGCATATTTAGTTGTATTTTGCATGGTGCATACTGCTGTAATATTTTGATTAGAATAAAATATGTAAAAAAAAAAAAAAAAGCAAAATCAAATATCAATCCTTCCAAATAATACACAAAATCGACTGCATTCAAAAACTGTTTAACCAAGGTAAACACACGGTGATGACCATGTCCTTTTGTCTGCATAATAGCTGGAAACATATTTGTCTAGAGCGTCTTCGGTCAGCCGCCTGTGAGACTCTAGAATATACAATACTGCAAATAGCCTATTGTCTGAACGCGGTTTCTGGGACCTCTCCACGGCAATCCTCATTCACATGGTGACACTTTGTGACATCGGGTGTTTATCGCTTGTGTAATGTCCTAGTGTTGTAGAAAGTCAGTCAGTCAGTCAAAGATAAGCTCAGCTGATTTAAAGATCTGACATTGCTGGAGTGGATAATCCCTCCCCATCTGCAGCGGATAGGCCGAGTTTTAATTCCAGTGATGTATGTAGAGAGCTTTAAAGGTAAAAAAAAAAAAACGATGTTTACTTATGTTTAATTGACTATACGAAAGCATTTGATTGCGTTGAACGTGAAGAAAAAATCAAACTATTGGAAAAATTAAACATTGACGAAAAAGACTTACGAATTATAAGGAACATCTATGGCAGC